TTGGTGAGAGAGATCCGACAATACAGATTGAAAAAAATCAGCAAAGAAGAAAAGACTCCTGGCTGTGTGAAAATTAAAAAATGCATTATAATGTAACCTGGTAAGTTCAACATATTAATTTTGGCAGAAAGCAGATGTCTTTCAAAGGTAACAAAGTAAGCAACCATTTTAGAACTACCTAGGTGTGGGCTTTTTATTGGAAATGTTAAAAGAAACCTCAGAGGGGAGGAGGGTGGAGGGATGGATGAAAAAGGTGAAGGGAATAAGATTTAAAAAAAAAACAAAAACGAAAAAAATTTCCCGGAACAATTTAAAGTAAATAATAATAAAGTGACTTTCCTTAAAAACAAGAAACTTGTAGTTTGTTTCCATAATTAGTATATTTTAATTTTTAATCTAGTGAGTATTATAATTGAGGCCATTTTGATGGCTGTAGACTATTGTACATTTGTCACAGGGTTTAGAAAGAGAAAATATAAGAAACCATAATAGAGTAGTAAGAGTGAATGGCCTGGAAGGTGGAAAAGGGTTAACAATTATAGCTCAGTGGCATAAGCATCACTTTTTACCCAAGTTAGAAACCTGGAAGCCTTCTGGTGGCTTCTACATCCTTCTTTTTCATTCCTGTGTGGAGACAAGCACCAATTCCTATGATGTTACATTCTAACTTTTACTACATCATTAGTTCAGGCCCCTTTTGTTTCTTGCTGGGACTTTTATAACCTCTTATTTGGTTTACCTATTTGCTGTCTTCATTCACAGTGCAACCAGAGAGAGATACTTAAATATAATTCTCTTATTTTTAAATTCAGTCACCGACTTCCTATTAACTATGGAATAAAATCTCAAATTTCATAGTATGTTACATATGGCTCTTAACACCTTCCTAGCCCTCCAGTCTTTGGCCTTATGTCTAAAAACTCCTTGGAAATTTTTTTGTTTTTATGTAAATGAACACCATGTGTTTTTTTTACCTTCCCTGGAATCTTGGCTGTTGCTCCTTTGGAATACTAGTGTTCTTATCTCTTTTAATTAGCTAACACTTTTATAATTCTGTGATCTCCTATTCTCTAAGAATCTTTCTTTAAATCCTTAGACTGAGTATAATGCCCTTCCTATTACGAACTTACCATATGACTCTGAAATAGCCTCTTTTATATGTGATTCCTATACCATAGATTCTTAGAGAGCCAGGTCATATATTTTTAATTTTTGCATGACCAAGGCCTTATGAGGTTCCTGGTACTTAGTAGCTGCCCAATTGGATATTTCCTTTCTAAATCAACCCATATTAATTTTGGTCTTGCTCAGAAAACATCTCACTCAATAGGTGTCATAAATTTTATGCCAAAGCTTTAGATTTTGATGTATATTGTTTGTAATTATAATATTTTATGAGAACATGAATAAAATTATAGAATATCATTTATTGTGCTGATTAAACTAAAAGTAGGTAGTCTTTATTATGTGAATTTAAGGTCAGAAATAATTAAGGTAGCTCCCAAAAGTATGAAACATACATCTGAATACATAGTAAATTCTGCCCAAAAGATATTATGTGGTCTAGTAGTAATTTAACTCAGAAGGAGAAACCAAGCATGACTGGCATTTTTATTGAAATTTATGAACTCTTGATATTTTTTTTAGTATCATTATCTGAAGCAATATCTTAATTTAGAAGATGTCATAAAATTGAATATTGAAATGCAATTTGAAAAGTCAAAATTTCTTGAATTACAATAGCCATGAGCTGACTTAAGTGATTAAGTTTAATTTTCAATTTTAATTAAGTTTAATATAGTTTTACTTTATTATTTTCTCCTATTATCTTACTATTAGGTAATTTTTAAAGTAAAACTATTTAAAATAAGTTTTATGCTTTAAGTTTTACTTAAACAAAAGTGGAATCATACTTTTCTAAAATTTCTCATTTGTGTACACTATTTTCAGTGACTATATAGTGTGAATGTCAGATCATTGCTGGGCATACTGAGTTGAATTCTTGTCTTTTCAGTGGACATGGATAGCATTTATATAAAGAAAAAAGTGTACTTGGTAATACTTAACATTTTAAATAAGAATATTTTTACAAAATTAACTTGGCAATGATAGGTACAAATTAGTTTTTCTTAGTCCTAAAATGGATGAATTTAAACAAAATAATTACTGGAATACTACTTTGTCATACATGTGTATATGAGAATGACTAGTTCCCATATGAAAAAAGGCATTTACTGCTCTGTTTTGATTAATTGTAACATTTCCCTAATCATTAAAATCATATCATTTTAATAAGGTTGCATAGAAAGGAGAGTTCAGTGCAAATATGCAGAGATAGTTCTCAGAATCTTAGAACAAGGTGATGTTAACAGATTTGGTTTTCGTTGTCTCCTGAATACTTGTCTGTCGTTTTCAACTTAGAATGTGTTCTTCTCTATATCCAACTTGTGGTTTTTCATTTCATCTACTTTACCAATTTAGTGCCATTGACATTTCTCTTCATTATAAAAGCTGAAATGGAGTAGATTATGTACGGATATGTGATCAAAGAATTTGTAAATGTTAAGTGAGGTGGATTAGAACCTTTTTTAAATATTCCATTATAAGGGTTTTGATTATAAATTATAGTCAGGGGTTGGTGAGCTAGAAAATTATTCTTTAGCCCTGGCCGGTTTGGCTCCGCGGTTAGAGCGTCGGCCTGTGGACCAGAGAGTCCTGGGTTCGGTTCCCACTAAGGGCACGTACCTTGGTTGCAGTTTGTCCCCGTCCCCGGTTGGGGTTGTGCGGGAGGCAGCCACTCGATGTGTTCCTTTCACGTCGATGCCTCTCTCTCTATCTCTCTCTCTCTCTCCCCCCCTCTCCCTTTCCCCCTCTCTCCCCCTCTCCCTCTCCCTCTTCCTCTCCCTCTCTCTTTTCCTCTCTCTCCCTCCCACTCTGTCTAAGGAAAAATGTCCTTGGGTGAGGATAAAAATAAAATGAAATAAAAAAATTATTCTTTATTATATCATTGGAAGTTTTCTGCTTTTTATTTTTTTAAATTAGCATGAAGGTTTATATATATACTAAGCCTTTATTGTATTACTGATAAATTATATCTTACCATTTTTCCTTACTACTTTGGCTGAAACAAAAGCATATGTTGTGCCTGCCACTGAGCGTCATCCCATGGGCTTAGAGCTCCCAGTTCGATTCCTGGTCAGGGTACATGCCCAGGTTGCAGGCTCAATCCCCAGTATGGGGCATGCAGGGGGCAGCCAATTGATGTTTTTCTCTCACATTGATGTTTCTATCTCTCTCTCCCTTCCTCTCTTTAAAAATCAGTAAAAACATATTTTTAAAAAGAAGCATATGTTGTATCAGTAATGATTTCAGAAAGTGGGTAGCATGCAATGATTGTACAGCTTGGGCTTTATTGGGGAACTTTTTTATTCACTAGTATTCATATCAATAATACTGGTTTTTATCTTCCTATTTGTTTAAATGTAATCAAGGCTCCCATTACCACTCTGTGTCCACTTTAAAAATTACTGGTAATACTTTTCTGAATTTAAGATCTATTGTGAAAATTAGATAAATAAAACTTGAAAATGCCCTGACTTAATTTTACTATTATTTTGAAATATTAGTTTTGGAAGATCTTAGTAATAAAATAAAGGAGAAAATCATATCACTTAAATTTTAAATTATTTTCAAGATGACTTAACAAATATGTTTATATATGAATATTAATAGAGGTGGCTAAAATGAGTGAAAACCCAATCTTCATTGTTCTTAAGGTGACTTGATTTATACAACTTATTGGTTGGATATTTGTTCCTAGGATTCCTTCTAGTGTCTAGGGTTAAAAGCATCATTACATTAACAGGTTTTTAAAAATAGTTAACTCCTCAGTAGAACAGATTTTAAAATATATACAAGCTCATATTTTTTTCTTTAATTTAAAAATTTTGCTTTTATATTTAATTTGCTCTAATGGGGACATGACAAGAATTGACTTATGTACAGATCTTGTATACTTGCAGTACTGAACAATTAAAATCTGTCCTATCATATTCAGAGTGTCACTTTTCCCTTATGAATTACTAGATTGAAAGTTATTCTGACTTATAATCACTTTCAACCAGTACTATTTAGTTACATTGCTTTGATCACAAATAGATGTCGGCCAAAATGACCAAATGGATATTTCTTTGAAGATACAGCATTTGGCTTTATATGAAAAATTTTGGAATACTTAATATACCAAACAGAAACTAAAACAAGAATAAGTAAAATAGAACCTTTTCTAAATTGGTAAATTACACCGTGATTTAAATGATTTAGCTCCTTTTTCCACAAATTCAGAGTATTACATTTTTTAGATTAGTGTCTTGTGTATTGGGTCACTTTAAATTTTTTGCTTGTATAATTAAGTATAATTGAAACTAATGCCTTAATATAGTATATAATATTTTAAAACTGGAAGTGTATTTAAATACTGTTCACTTATTAGTAATTATCTAAATCTAATGGATTTAAATAAATATTGAACCAGAGTTCAGAAATTGTTACTGTGAATACTTATGAAAATGGTACATACTTACATGGCTTAATATCAAATGTCTAGAAATTCAGGGATAATTAAGTGTAAATACCTTTCTACCACACATAAACATTTGGATTTTGGTTACTAAAGTGTACCAATATGTAAAATGTAGTAGCACATAAAGTTTTGGGAAAAAGTCATTTGTGAAGCTTATGTAAGATTCTGTGCCAATGCTTTTGATTTTTTTTTTTTTCCGTAAAAATCAGTGTTTCTATTTATAACGTTGACAAAACATCCATGAAGACATTAAAAAATCTTAAATGTCTGATAAACATTCAGTTGCCTGTAGAGAAATGTGAAGTCTACTTACTCTTTCTCAGTATTAATTTTTGCATCAGTGATATATCTTTCCTGTTATCTGTCCACCTCAAACCATAATATATATTCACATTTTAATATTTGTTATATATTTCAGGGTGTTGACGATGCCTTCTATACATTAGTTCGAGAAATTCGAAAACATAAAGAAAAAATGAGCAAAGATGGTAAAAAGAAGAAAAAGAAGTCAAAGACAAAGTGTATAATTATGTAAATACAATTTGTACTTTTTTCTTAAGGTATACTTAAGTAAAAGTGGTGATTTTTGTACATTACACTAAATTATTAGCATTTGTTTTACTTTAGCATTACCTAATTTTTTTCTGCTCCATCCGAACTATTAGCTTTTATCTTGAATGCTTGTTTTAAAATGACAGTGGAAACTTGTTTTCCTCTAAGTGCCAGTATTCCCTGAGTTTTGGTTTTTGAACTAGCAATGCCTGTGAAAAAGAAACTGAATACCTGAGATTTCTTTCTTGGGGTTTTTGGTGCATGCAGTTGATTACTTCCTATTTTTCTTACCAATTGTGAACTTTGGTGTGAAACAAATTAATGAAGCTTTTGAATCCTCCTTATTCTGTGTTTTATCTAATCACATACATGGTTTAATTACTTTATAACTTCAGTTGAGAATTCATGATTGGTTTTACCAAAACATTGAGGGAACATGAATTTCTGAACTTCCTGTAGATTCATCTTGTAGGCATCATGTCCTCTAGTTTCAGTCACCCTTAATGAATGTAAATTTACACTGTTCCCAAAGGTTTTCTTCTTCTTTCCACTGCTATTTGTCATAGTCATGTTCCAAAAAATATTATATTTTTTCTATAAAAGGAAAAAAATAGAAAAAAAAGACAAGGCAATGGAAAATATTAAAAAGCTACTTACTTTCCACATTAGATAAATTCCTATAATACGCCGAATAGCTTTTCCTGTTAATGCAGACCCAGTGTGTAATGAGGATTATAGCAACCATTTGGGGGCTATATTTCCATGCTACTAAATTTTGTAATAATTGAAAAAACTTTTAACATGTATAAAAATTCCCATAGGAATGAATGTAGTCTCCCTGTGTCAGATTGCTCTTTCCTAACATAACTTCAAACCTTTCCTTAAACTTTGGTCTTTGAAAATAGATTTAATTCTGGTAGTGATATTAAAGATTATTTGAGTCAGTTAGGTTAGTAGGTGAAAGAGACCAAGTTGAAGGCCTAGCCTATGTGAACCTGAGCTTCATTGTGAGTTTCACAGTATGGAGTGCGTTCTTAGGTTCTTCCCATGTTGTCAAGCATTGGTTGGTCAAAAATGGGGACTGGGAGAGATTTGGCTAGCTCAGCAAGATTCATTCTCACTCTGTGGTGGTTCTGCTGACAGATTAGGAACATATCTTAAAAAAAAAAACAAAAAAAACTTTAAAAAATATTTTAAATGAGATTTTGGGATGGGAATGGGGCAGAACTTTAATTTTTTAAAATAATGAATGGAAAAGTTTTCACAGTCTCTAGTATTGGCTAGTTCTCTGAACACAGCTAAAGTAACATTTCATAAACTCTACAAGTCTGGTCCATTTTTAATATCTAATGCTTAAAAGTAGAAAAATTAACAAAATGATTCTTTCAATACATTTAAAATGTTGCTTATTTTAAGATATTTAAAGAGAGATGTATAATGAGATGAAAATATCACTGAACTAGGAGGAGGAAGGTCACTTAAATTTTGGTGTCTTACAACTTTGATTTTGGGCAAATCACTTTATTTCGTCATGTTAAAATAAGTCATCTCAAGACTGTAGCTAGCATTATGATTATGTGATTTACATTCAGTTTACATAAAAATATGCCTATTTGTCAATCTCAGCATAATCTGTAACTTTTCACCTGTGTTATCATCTTCACTGTAAGTCTTAGGCAAAATTGTGCAAGAGGTAAAGTTTATTTTTTAATATCCTTTCTCCATATTCAAGACCCTTCTCCCTTATTAGTGTCATCTTGCCTGCCTACCCTTCTATATGACCCATGACTTGATGCCTTTTCTTTTAATATGTCTAATTCCCCTAATCTCAAGATTTATTGCTGCTTTGGATATCTCCTTGAAGGCTTCCCATCAAGTCACATCAGAATGCCCTACTACACTGGGATTCGACCTAATGGCTAATTTGAGGTTGTGGCTATAGTAATTTAACCTTGGTCCTTTGAATATCATGTTTGCTGTCTAGCCCATTAGTGACTATGTAGGAATTTTCATACCTGCTGTGAGTAGACAGTCCAGTGGAAGAAGAATTTAATAAAGGTAGTGCTGAAAGAATTCCTTAGATAATCTGTAATTAGGACTAGCACTGGTAATGGACACATTGCATAGTTTTAATAACTAAAATCTTACAATGAAAAACACTTTAAAATTTAATTCATAAAGCTTAATTTTTTAGAACAGTTCATTTATTCAACGTATTTGAATGCCTATTAAATGCCAGGCACTACACAAAGGCACTGAGGATATTATAGTGAAAGGGACATAATCCCTATGCTAAAGTACTGTTTATACTTCTGGAATGGTCTGTAGGATCTTTGTGAGGCATTTGGCACATGACCCAGAGATAACATATAATGCATATCTTAGTTTTGTAAGGGAGTTGGTCTCTTAAGGTTTCTTCCATTTCTGGAGTTGTTTTGCTGTGATTCCACTGTAACTGTTTAATCAAGCTATTTTACATAAATCACTTTTAATTCATTGTTTTAAAGGAGTAAATGATTATATATTTTTTTATTTGGCATAATTTTGTGATTTGATTGGGACCTTTATAGTATACATTAAGTTGTATGACATATTAAAATTCCTAAGTGTCTAATGTTCTAGTTGGTCTTAATTAAAATAGACTTTTAAAATTAAATATTGAATTCTAAAATAGTTAATGTTTATCTAAGTACAATTAAACAGATGCCTGAACTAATTCACAGAAAAGGAAATTTCTGTGTAAAAATCATTATGATTTCTGAAATACTTTGTTAAACGACAGGTTTATGGAACATTATCTTGGTGGGGTATTAAGATATATAGAACCTACTCTTGTTTCTACCCAAGAGAAAGAAATGGCCACACTTCAAGAAGAGCAGTGCATAGTCCAGTGAGGGTATTTTTAGGACTCTTGAATTTTTTATGTATCTGGGCAATTTTTTTTTAATGCAGTGGTAAATTATCTTTGATTATGTGAGTTTTGAATGATTTAACAAAAGGTTTGTTGAGGAGAGATGATCCTAGAAGTAACATAAATGTTATCTAATTATTATAGCCTTAAAGATAAAAATTCTGTTGACATTGGAAAAAAATGCTAAATTACGTAGTCTTAGACATAAACATGTTTGTGAAAGAATGTATCAGAAGTATGTAGTAAAATTTGAGTGAATATTCCCAGTTAGGAATTCTAGGCTTTATTTTAACTGAGTCACACTGCATAGGAATTTAGAACCTAACTTTTATAGGTTATCAAAGCCTTTGCCACCATTGCACAATTTTGTCCTAATATATAAAATCTTGTGAGGCATGTTAAGTTGCAGTTTGCACAAGTTCATCTCGTTTGTATTCCAGTCATTTTTTTCTTCTAGACATTTTTCTTCTAAACGATATATACATATTTAGTTTTCTTGTGGGCAATAAAAACTGTCATTCACATTTGTCAAAAAGTAATACTTTCTTGCTAATTATGTATTACTGATTTTTAAAAACCTATCAGTTACTGTAAAACTGAATTTATATTTAATAACTAATTTGTTAATATTGGGTAGCATGAAATCTGCTTTGATAAATTGAACAGCATACAACTGATAGCTACAAATTCCTTCAGAAAATGAAATTATTTCTTTCTAATGATACATTCTCATCGATTCTTAAAACATAGTGCTAACTAGATTTTAATACTTATTTTAGTTTAATAGTTTTAAGTGCCTGTTTGGGATGATGCTAGGTAATTTAGATGAATTTAGGGAAAACAAAATTATTACCTGCAGAAATGTCTATTACTGAGGGTCCCCCTACCCCCATAGAGTTAAATGGGTTATGTAATGTTTTATCCAAAAGTTTCCAGTTCCACTGTCTTGTGTTTTCATGTTGAAAATACTTTTGCATTTTTCCTTTGAGTGCCAATTTCTTACTAGTACTATTTCTTAATGTAACATGTTTACCTGGAATGTATTTTAACTATTTTTGTATAGTGTAAACTGAAACATGCACATTTTGTACATTGTGCTTTTTTTTTGTGGGACATATGCAGTGTGATCCAGTTGTTTTCCATCATTTGGTTGCGCTGACCTAGGAATGTTGGTCATATCAAACATTACATTTAAAAATGACCACTCTTTTAATTAAAATTAACTTTTAAATGTTTATAGGAGTATGTGCTGTGAAGTGATCTGAAATTTGTAATATTTTTGTCATGAACTGTACTGCTCCTAATTATTGTAATGTAATAAAAATAGTTATGGTGACTATGATAGTGTGCATTTCTTGATAGAAATCTGAAACATTTGCCCAGCAATTGATATGGAATAGTTTATAAACCACAGACACAATATGTATTAGTAAATGTCTTTCTACAGCTTGTAAGTTAGAAATATTCTTTATTTATGAAAGGTGCTGTGAACACTATATAAAGGTTTAAGTGTTTGCTTAAGCTTAAGACCATCTTAGCTTTAAGTCCTTTGCCATGTTCACTCATTTAGAAGTAGGTGCAAAAGAGATCTACCTTTATGACAAAATACAACATTATTTATTACTTTTTAACAAAGAAGGTAATTGATACATAACAGGTGAATTGTTTTAAGGCCCAAAAGGGGCAAGCTGCAAAATAATGGAAATATTGAATAGGTATGTATGTAATGCCGATCACTGGCAGGCTATTGCAAGATCAGAAGTAATCTTCATATATATTATTTCTGTAACTGCACTAAAATCATGACCAGCAGGTGTTACTTGTTTTGTAGTGAACCTTGCTAATGTACCAAATGGGTTAAAAAATAAGATACACCTTTAAAAATTAAGAGAATAAATGTGAAATTATTTTGCCTAGTTACATGTGAATTATGTGGCACTGTCAAATGGACAAATGGGCTAAGAATAATTGGCAAAAACCTATTAAGTTAAAACTTTTAAATACATTATTTTTTTCATTTTCAGGTAAATGCTCATAAGTTTATAATTTGTAGTTGGCAACATCTACATTTCTATTTTAGTATAAAATTGTGCATAAAGGGTTGCTGATGCAGCTCTCAGAATGAAGTTGAAACCAGTTTTCAATAAGGCAGTTTAAGTATTTTTTACATGATATGTATATGTTGTAATTTAAGTTAGGATTAATTTTATATTATACACAAACAGCTGGCACTGGTTTTGAGTCAAATTATAGTAATGATTAGTTAGTTTCCTTAGTATCTGAATAATAGCGTTGTTTCATAGCTCTGTATTTCCTAAGGAAATATAAGGCTTCTAGCTCTTTCATTACAAATTCGCCCCGTCCAATAAGTTCTTTGATCTTCTCTGGGTCTTTCACATCTTTGTTTTTAAGGAAAACATTCTTCAGACGCCTTTTAAAATAGTCTGCTCCTTTCGGATAATCGCGTCCAAGGTACAGCAGCTTAAAAAAGAAAGATTATATATTTCTAAACAACGCATGTCATATAATAACATTTATAAAATTGGCAACATAATTACTTACATTTTTATAAAGATTCAGTACTTCTCTTCTTAAAGAATTGGCCATTTTCACTTATCATGGAAATATCCACTTTTATACATAGCATACCTAAAGAGAAGGATTTCTGAAATAACTATTGTAGAAAAAAGCAGCAGCAAAGAAAAAGATTTTACACAGTAGGAAAGCGGCAACCCCTTTAATCCATTAATTTTGAGCATTTTCATGTTCCTGGCACTGGGATACGGCTATGAACATTGGTCAGATAAGATACCTTCCCCCACAGAACTAACATCTCCTGAGGGAGATGACATGACAAACATGATAATGAATTGTGACAAGTCCTAGGAGGGAAATAGGAAAATGAAAGAGAAAATGGATCATCAGAGGTAGATCGATCTATCTATCTATCTATCTATCTATCTATCTATCTATCTATCTATCCCTCCTTTTAATACCAGAGTAGAATGAATTAGAACTAGATTTAAATGACAGCTGTATAATGTTATAAAAGGTTACTTAACCTTTATGAGCCTCAGTTTCCTTATCATCAGAAGGAAGATTCTATTTATTCTGCTCTCACAGTAAGGCCAGGTCTGTTTGGAGGACATTCAGAAGATGCCTGGGCAAATCTAGAAGGGTGGTATCCTAAGAAAGGCTCAAGAGGTGGAGAAACTTGCTGTGTGAGTCAGGCAAGCTCACAATTAATAGTAAATGGGCAATAAGATTGATGAAGAGGCCAAGTGAACACCCATAAGGGGTTACATGAGCAGACATCAAATGGGATAGATTATACTTCTTTATATATAATTAGTTAATGCTGCTAGGGAGACAGCTCCTTAAATACACCATGACATCCTTAGAAAATAATTCCCAGTACTTGCTGTAATTGTGGGGATTAAATCATAAAATTCCCATCATAATAAGCAGGCCCAAAGTAAATGTTAATGTCATTGACAACCTCCTTTAAAATTCTGTAATTCCCAGTGATCTATTGAAATGGTTTTATACCTGATGCCTCTCATTAACAATTTCTATTTTGAAATAATTTCAACCTTGCAGAAGAGTTGCAACATACTACTGTTTTCCTGAACTCAGACTGAATACTTTGCATAATCATCCAATAGAAATATGAGCCACTTACGTAATTTTACATTTTCTAGTAGTCCATATTAAAAAATTTAACATGAACTAATTTTAATAACATTTTTCATATTTAAAAGATTATTAAAATGTGTCACTATAGCTACATTTTAAGTGCTTATAGATATGCACTTAGTTGCTACTACAGTGGACAGCAGAGTATGTTTTCTGTTAACAAGGATATTTCCTACAGAGCAATACAGCCATCAACATCAGGAAGTTAACTGACATTGCTATATTACTCCAGTATGACCCACAGCCCCTTCATGTTCTAGCACTTGTCCTAAAGATGCTCTTTATATTTTATAGCACAAGGATCCAATCCAAGATTACACATTGCCCATTTATTTTGTAGAATGTGTCTCATTTTGATGTTAACACATGGCTAGGTTCAGGTTGTGTAGTTTGAGCAAAAAGATTACAGACATGATGGTTTTGTTCATTTTTTTGCTTCCTATCAGGTGGACACAATTCCAAATTGTTCCATTTTCGTTGATGTTCATTTTGATCACTTGATTATGGTGGTGTTTAGATTCTCCACTGTAAATAAAGTTACTCATTTTCCCTTTGAAGTTGGTAAGCATCTTGTGGGAAAAGAAATACTTTGAGACTACATATATGTATCCCTGAAAAACCTTTCAGCTTGCCAAAACATAAAAATAACAGGGCTTATGGGGGAAATAAGTTTGGGGTAGATCACTTAAATCCTATACAACTAAACAACTAGTAAACAGAAGTTGGTACTTGGAGAGCTATTTTGGATTTCTTGAATTCACTTGAATTTCTCTGAGCCTAGATGGAGACTCACAGAGATGTTTAAAATGCTCAAAAGTAAGAAAGAGTCAGGGGCTGGAGACTAGGAGGAGATCAAAAGAGGCAGGAGGAAATCTTTGGGGATGATGAATGTTTATCTAATTGTGGTGATGGTTTCATAGGTGTTTGCATATGTCAGATTTGTCAAATTATAATTAAAAATTTTTTTCTGTATTGATTTTTAGAGAGGAAAGGCGAGGGAGAGATAGAAACATTGATGAGAGAGAACATCGATTAGTCGCCTCCAGCATGCCCCCTGACTGGGGATTTGGCCCACCACCTGGGTTGCCCTGACAAGGAACTGAACCAGTGACCTCTTAGTGCATGGGTCAGTGCTCAACCACTGAGCCACACAGGCCGGGCTATATTTATAATTTAAATAAGTGTAGTTTATTCTATGTCAATTATATCTCAGTAAAACTTTTAAAATGCTAAGGGTAGGGTTGGGAGACACCGAGGTACATATGGAAGTAGAGATCTATCTAAACCACAAGTCTGCGACTTAGTGGTTAGGGTAGGTGGTTCAATCTGCCACCAATCAACAAAATGGGGTATGCCTCTCTGGGTTTAAATTTTTAAAAAATACACCTGAAAGACACCAGCTGGCAGTATAGCAACTAAGTGAAGACATTTTCATTTATTGCTGACGTTTATAAATCACATAATAACCAACATTACTTCCATACCAAGTGGCTTCAGAAGTATATGAAGCTGACATTTACATGTCTATCTTACTACCAAGGAATTTGGAGGTGGGATATCATTATTACACAATGGGGATAATAACACTAACCCACAAAGACTAGCTTAGTAATATTTATTAATAATACATTTAATCAATGACATCGGGATAGAGCACAATAAAATGAGAATTCAGAGATAAGAAATGATGCCAATAATTTAAAAGTACTTCATGTCATGTTATGCTAAAACAGGGTTTTGGGTCCTAATACGGAGAATTCAGTTGGGCTTTGGAAAGAGCATAATTCGTTAAATCACTTAATTTTTTCTAGTTTTCTGTTGGTTTAAGTTGCCAGTGTTTCTTCATTTGGGGAGGAGTCAAATTCTGAAAGTTGTGCCAGTGGTTATCACAATTTTTGACCTTGGACAAATAACTTAATGACCCTTGCTGGGCCTCAGCGACCTTCATCTGTAAGAAAAAAACTTCACCCAGGACTTGCTTCAAATCCTTCCCAGTTCTTGTTTACAGCGGCTCTCAGGAAAAAACGGCATACACCTCGCTCAGGAAACAAACAGAACCGCGTGCAGGGAGAAGACTCCGAAGGTCATTCATTTAAAAATACCCAACCACTCGCGGCCAGTTTCCTCTGATCCAAATGGCCAGTCGAGCCCAGTCACCCCGCCGGCCTAAGCGGTGGCGACCCAGGCAGCCGACCGGTCGGTCACTTGACCCAAACGCCGAGCTGGGTGGCCCCTTTCCTTCTGGAAACCCTCACGAAGATTCGCCCCACACACCCCAGGGGAATAATGAGGGGAGAGACTCAACGTCAGAAGACGCTCAGCAATCCCTTCCCGCACCCGGAGGATATCCTGGCCCAGAGACACCGCCCCCAGACCGCGGGGTCCGGAAAACAACAATACACCCGGGGAGCTGCACTCACGCACCTTCCGGCACGCCGCAGCCGGGGGATCTTCAGACCGCTTCCGCCCCTCGGGCGGTCAACCTCCACGCTCCGCGGGGTCGGGGCAGCCTGTCCGGGAGGGGGCGGGGCGCCGTCCGGAAAAGCCCGGCGCGACTGCGCGGACCCGGACGGGATGGTTGCGCTGTTTTCCTGGGGCGTGAGTGGGCGGGGCTTGTCGTCAAGACAACCCGAGAGCGTTTGTCCACATACCTCAGCTTCAACTTTTGTAGACCGACCACTGAAGTCGTGCTTCGCTCAGCATGGTGAGCAGGGAAAGTGGGGGAACCAGGTGAAGGGGCGAGCATTGCTTCTCCTTCACCGGTGTCAAATGATGTCATAAGAGTCTGTCTTATTTTGGAGGGGAGCAGATCGGTTTAGGATAGAACCCATACCCCGTTGGGGGGAAGTCCTTCTCTTGATCCGTGGTCTTCCCGTCCAGTATCCGGAGGACACGTCAGATGATGTCCTAATTTCACACGGTTGCTAGGTTTAAACATTGGTCGCAACCTAGTGGAAATAATTGTTCTTTGATCCAAGGTACTCAGCCTGCCTTGCATTTACTTAGTATGATACAGCTGCAAGTTTTTTTTTCTTCTACATTCCTCAGCTGTCTTCTCCAAGAATGCAGGCCAACATGTAGGCTAAGAGATAATCTCATGCCCCATTTTTCTTAAATGTAATTTTCATCTTCTATGATTAAAACCAGAGGAAGTGGAAATGTAATTAATTATTTAATTCATTAATTACTGAATATACAGAGTTCATTCTTTGTGCTTATGCCCTCTGAACTTTGACCACTACTCAACTACCTGATGCTCTTCTTATGATTTTCAGGGGACTGAGGATATGTACATATCCCAAACCTGCTTCACATTAAATGCATTAGTGAAAGATGGCAATTTGTCCATCTTTAAAATATAGCTCCTTGAGAGCAGGAGCAATGCTGTTTATACAGTCTGCTGTATAATATTTATTTCAAAATGGAAGTATGTTAACTATTAATTGATAGCAAATATGATCATAAAAATGGAACCCATTTGTAAAAATTATGTGACAGTGAAGTCTCTTCTGTTCCTCTTTATATCGTCTCCAGTATCTAGAGTGCCTTGGTGTAAATCATTAATAAATATTTGCTCCTCCCACTTTATCTGAACAAAATATTGAAAATTGTCCTTGGGTGAGGATAAAATAAATAAATAAATAAATAAATAAATAAATATTTGCTGAATTAACTAAATATATGTACTTTTCAAGAATGTATAATCTGCTTTGTGTCAGTTTTTTTTAAATTTCTTTTTCTTTATTGATTTTAGAGAGAGAAGAAGGGAGGGGGGAGAGAGAAATAGAAACATTGATGAGAGAGAACATCGATTGGCTGCCTCCTGCATGCACACCACTGGGGATTGGGCCCAAAACTTGGGCAGGTGCCCTGACTGGGAATCGAACTAGCGACCTCTTGGTGCATTAGTC